GAGTCGAGAAGACACACATACTTTAAAGTTACAATGATGCTTCTAATACAAACTTATGAGAGGTAAGGTGTTTCCAGTAACGGGCAGTAGGTCATTCATTAGCAGCAGGAATACAGTGTAACCCAAAATGAGGGTCATTTTGAAGGCAGAACGATCCACGTTTTGGGGAGGCAGGAGAAAGCTGAACAGATCTACAGTAATGAGGAAGCAGCTGGGAATCAGGAGGTTCACCACATACAGAGTCGCTCGACGCCTGAGGACGATCTAATAAAGAACAAAAGTAATTTTACCAACTTTAATTAGAATGCGATGCATTTAAAAAAAAAAAAAAAACAATTATTAGGGTCCATCCCTAAACCTAAACTCAGTGGAGATTGTATAAAAAAAAACAAATAAGAGTCATACGAATTTGCTGGCAATAAACCAAAATTTAAAGGGGTGGTTGATTGCGATTTCACTTTTTTAACGTTAGTTAGTGTGTAATGTTGCTGTTTCAGCATAAACAATATCTGCAAAGTTACGAAGCTGAAAGTTCAATGCAAACGGAGATATCGTCTTTTAAAATTCTGGCAGTTTAAAGCCTACAAATACGGCTTGTAGGAACAACAACGAGTTACTTCCCGGGTTTGTGACATCACAAACCCAGATAAACCCTGCCCTCGGGAAAAGGCAGCAAAGGGGGCGAGGCCATGCTGCGTTGCTTTAGAGAGGAGAAAGAGAAAACTAGTGGTGCACATAAAAATCTATTCATATATGAATCGCGATTCTGTCTTCTAACGATACTAATGGATTCACAAGTTTCAAAATCAATGTTCTAAAGCAGCGGTTCTAATCCTGTTCCTCGCGTCCCCTGCTCTGCACATGCTCTGCTCTGCTGCATCTCTCTCTCTCTCTCTCTCTCAATCGCTCACTCAGATCACCAGCTCAGCTCCAACAATGAACTGTTCCATTTATACACTTATTTTCACATAGCTATGAGAAGCATTATACATGGACGCGCGTGTGGTTGTTGTACTCTATTAAAGCTTTAATCAGGATAAAACCATATATTAAAGGCTAACAGAAGCAGTAGCATTTACAAATAACAGCATATCTAAAAGTATGAGACAACAACAATCAAAAAACATAGAAAAAAAACAGTCAACCACCCCTTTAAAATAGTTATGAATTGCCATGAGAGAATGTTGGCCTTGACTAACATTATTTTCTTGTTTAAATGTAATTTTTTTTTTTAATTGTGTTAAAATGATAATACATAGTAAGTAAGCATGTCCCGTGAGATATTCATTTCGTGGGGAGGGATTGTAGGTTTTTGAGCAAGCATGTCGACCAGCTCCCACTCTCCTTTAGTTGTCATCACTTCAAGAGAATCTTTGAATGCTTCCTCCACCGGTATATCAAAGGACAACTGAACATCCAGCACTACAGAGAAGACCAAAAAATGAGAGTTATTGGGGTCATACCAACATGGTAGTTATAAGAGAAATCCAATTGACTCTTCAGTCAAGAAAACATACCAGTGTGCTGGTATGAATTAAAGGTGAATGTGCAGTTTTGAATATCAAATGGAAAGGTATAGATGTCCAGGTTACAAGAACTGATGACATGAAATGGAAGATCATCCATTACCTTGCCAGTATATTCAACGTAGAGGTAATATGTGTCTGGGACTTTATTTTCATCAATGCTTCAAAGTAAAAAGTAGGTATGGGTGTTATATTCTTTCTGGTATCCATGCAAAGCTTTGAATTTTTTTTTTTAATAAAAAAAAAAGTAAAGGAATCAAGATTCAGAAATACAGATATGTTTAAACTCACAATTCATTGATGATAATATCAGGCCTCCACAGTTGTTTTCGTGGTATTGAAATTCTGTCTGTTCCACATTTAACAGGATCCCAGCTCAAGCCTTCAATATTCCAAACCTACAGAACACAAAATGTCATTATCAGTAAATTTATCAGTAAACATGGATCCAACAGATCTACTAGTGGGTCTCCAGCAAGGTCACTATACCATCGAGGCCTATACTTATTTCTTCTGTGCGAAGATTAGCCAGTCAAGCAATGTCTGCCAAGAAGCATATGTGACTTCAACCTTGAACAATATGTTGACTTGGCCTTAAGACTTTGTCTTTCTCCTTACACTATGGGCTATGGCTCACTATCCCCTATAAATCCCAGTGTTTCCCTCTCAGCACTCCGAAGACCACTGGTCTCTGTGGTCCCTGGCCTCGTAATCCCTTGGCCTGGTAGTCTCAAGTCCATTGGTCTCTGTGCTCCTTGGCCTAGTGGTTCCAAGTCCATTGGCCTCTATGCTCATTGGCCTGGTGGTCCCAAGTCAATTGGTCTCTGTGGTCCCAATTCCACTGGTCTCTGTGCTACCTATCCCAGCAGTCCCAAGTCTGATGGTCTCTGTGCTCCTTGGCCTGGTCGTCCCAAGTCCATTGGTCTCTGTGCTTCTTGGCCCAGTGGTTCCAAGTCTGTTGGTCTCTGTGCTCCTTGGCCTGGTGGTCCCAAGTCCATAGGTCTCTGTGCTTCTTGGCCCAGTGGTTCCAAGTCTGTTGGTCTCTGTGCTCCTGGGCCTGGTGGTCCCAAGTCAATTGATTTCTGTGCTCCCAAGTCCATTGGTCTCTGTGCTCCCAAGCCCGGCAAATCCAAGACCATTGGTCTCTGTGCTCCTTGGCCTGGTGATCCAAAGTCCATTTGTTTCTGTGCTCTTAAGTCCATTTGTCTCTGCGCTCCCTAGCCCAGTGGTCCCAAGTCTGATGGTCTCTGTGCTCCTTGGCCTGGTGGTCCAAAATACATTGGTTTCTGTGCTTCTTGGCCCAGTGGTCCCAAGTCTGATGGTCTTTGTGCTCTCTAGTCCGGTGGTCCAAAGTCCATTGGTTTCTGTGCTCCTTGACTCAGTGATTCCAAGTCCATTTGTTTCTGTGCTCCTTAGCCCAGTGGTCCCAATTTTAATGGTCTTTGTGCTCCCAATCCCAGTGGTCCAAAGTCCATTGGTCTCTGTGCTCCTTGGCTCGGTGCTCCCAAGTCCATTGGTTTTTTTTGTGCTCCCTTGCTCAGTGGTCCCAAATCTGATGGTCTTTGTGCTCTCTGGCTCGGTAATAATAAAATAAACTAAACAGTTTCTGAACTCACTGAGCTCCCTGTCACAGCCATAGAGGAAGCCCCTGAACTCCCTGTCCCCTGTGCTCCCTGTCTCTGGGATCCTGCTCTTATATTATCTCTGAGTCTCCTGCACATTACACCTTTTTGCTCTTTTGTACTGTTCTCTTTTTTGAAGTTAAAATGAATTAGTTTCATTATTCATTCATTTAAATTCATTTATCAGTTAATAAAATAAGAGATATTGCTGCAGTTGCCGTATGACTTACTAGATTCACCCAAAGGAATGTGTTAAGTTTCTGTGCTTTTTCATCCTGAAAGAGAAAAACTGACTTGATTTAGTCACTATTACCAATAAGCAATTGCCATTCATAAACTAGTTAGCAGTATGGCGGGTTTGCACCTTTACTTGAAGTCATGAAATTATACAATCTTAAGTATTACAGTACATGTAGTAGTGTTGAAATAAATGTTTATAATCTATTGTTTTATAAAATGTAATTTCAAACTGAATTATTTAAAGAGCCTTTATAGATGTGTATGGAATGCAAGATTGGTTGCAAATGGTTGAGCACAGTTTCTAATGTAATGAATACTGATTTTGTGTGGCCATAATTGAGAATTGTTAGATTTATTAGAACTTACCACATCTAAAATCCCATACAGAGTGAAGCTCACACTGATGTTGGTGGGAGTTTTCAGGTTAATAACTGGCCTTATTTCAGTTTTGCCAAATATATTTTCCTTCAGGGCTGTTATGAGACCATCTGTAGTGGGTTCAGAGCAGTTGATGGTCTCTGCGGATTTCACCATTAGAGCTGGAAGAATAAAATTGCAAATTAAATATTACAAGTTTTGTCTGTTGTATTGTCAAATTCTGGGTTAAAGGAAACATTAACTAACACTTAACACTAACACACACAACCTTAACACTATTTTTAGCTGTTTTTTTCTTAACAATTAAAAAATATATTATTTATATGTAAATGATTAATGTTGTAAACATAATTAATAATGTAAACCATCAATGATTACAACACTATTAATACAAATATGTACATTATAATTTACATTATTTGTAAAGTTGCAAATGTTAATAATGTAAATCACGAATGTTTACTATATTAATATAAATAAAAACATTAAGAGTCATGAATCAAATTATATACAAACTTATACTGGTTCTTACATAGAGTCTATGAATTTGAAATTAATTTTGTCTTACACTGCATGATGAGACAGCAGATAATGAACTGGAAATGTGGAAGAATAGCTGTGAATCCAGCAGCCTGTTATAATGGTGTTAACAGACACTTCAATATTATACACTTTAATAAAGCACTAAACAATGCTATAAACTTTAAATATTGCATTACTATTTCATGACTATGTCTTCTTACCTGTGGTCTTGAGAACAAAAATAAAGCCATCAGCTGAAGAACGAGAAGGCAGATAACAGTAAAGGTGCTATAAAATATATATTAGACTTTTACCTCACAGTTTCATGATCTCTGTGAGGACTGAAATGGACCCTCAGGCAAACTATATACAAAAACTGATTTGCTTAGACAAACTAAAACCAAAAGAGACCTTCGACCACAACATTTCCATTTATTTCATAATCCCAGAATACAGAAGAAAAAACATGCAAAGCACAATATATGCAACGTAAAACCCACAATAAAAATATGGTGGCTGTTTTACATTAAGCAGGGCTGCAGTGAATTTCAGTGAAAGTGAAAGATTAAAACTTACAATAATCGATTAACAAAGAGTAGAAGTCAACCGATAAGCTTAATCTTGCGGCAGTAACAAGTTGTTAATTTTAGTGAATATTACAAATATTTTCAATAATATAGTCACTTAGAAGATTTGAGCAATGAAATCAGTCTCAGTTGGCTTGACTGCAGATGCCAAGCCGACAGGCTTCACAGTGAGCACTTTCATGTGGCCGATTAAATCTTCCACCAAACACTGAGGATCTGTTTGCTTCACCCAGGTCTTCTCCATAGCATTTCCTGCGGATCTTTTGAACTAGTCTCTCAACCAGCACATCAATGTTTTCTACTGGGAAGTTTGGATCCTCCCACTGAGCTTCATTGCACGTCCTACACTCCTGTTTGTAGCATCGTAGTTTAATGGTTCCCTGTCTGCTTGCTGTGTTCAGATGGAAATGAAACACCACCTGCACTCTACTAGACCCCCAGGTTCTTCTACAAAGAGAACACCTGAACCTACAATCGAAATGGAAAATAAATCACTTTATGCATCTACTGATACTTCCATTCCATATGATTTAATTATTAAATAATGTATTATTATTATTATTTCTATTGGCTGGTGGTATTTGGCACCTTTATGTAGTATTTCAAAATAACCATTTCATTTATGTAATTTTAAGTTTAATCTGATAACATTTATACACTGTAGTAGCAGTTTAACTGTAATAAAATAGTTGTGAGGTTTATGTGTGTTTATGTGTAGATTTCTGAATACTGTACTTCCTAAATTTCCTTTTCATTCCATCAAAATATCTAATAAAAATCAATAAGCAGCCTATTTTCGTTGATGGCTTAACTAAATTATCTGTTTAAAAAGTATAATAACATTTTACAATAATGTACCATTTGTTAACATTTACTAATCATTTTAAAACTCAAAAGCTGTATCTGTTAATACTAATTAACAAACCGGAGCTAACATGAACTAATAATGAACAGTTGTATTTGTATTAACTAACATTAACAATGATTAATGCATACATCATAAATCGTAATACAGTAAAAACTGTTTAATATCTTTTACTGTGGTAAAGTTGTGCTCTTACTCTGCAAAGGAGCCAGAAATGTACTGGTGCCAATTAGGAGCTAAACTGTTTTCCACAATAGTCTGATCAGTTTGAGTGTTCCAGGTGTCGCCATGAAGATCACTTGCTTTCTCCTGTAAAGAACTGTTCCACAGCGATATCATGTCTGTTTTCTCACAGAGATCTCATAGGAATGAATATGAATGAACCCACTGAATATTTATACTGTAGCTATCTCTCAAACCACAGAAACAAAACTGAAACTACAAGTATGTATCTGTTTTCTACAACACAAACGTGAACACTGCTTTTTAAAGTAACAGAGATGGTGAATAAGGAATATTGCAGAATAAGCACTTATGACCAGTAAACATCATATTAATTTATACATGAATGGTATTTATTGTTTTATTGTATAGACAGAGAATTAATTTAAGAACTTCCTTGTCTTCCTATAGCTGGTTACATAAACTGCTTAGACTAGGCTTACAAGTTAGTCACCTGATTTTTTTAAATCTTAAAGACATGTCATAAGTAAGACTGATTAAGACTTGGTTAACTGCTAGTTGGTCAGACTGTACCAGTCCGATACAGTCTTAACCCTCAAATGTCCCTCATTTACTGTTTACACTTAAGTCCCTTGGGGTCAATATAACCCCAAACATTGAAAGAGTAATTGTGAAAAATATATAAATTTTGAATCATACAAATAATATATCATTTTTTTGGTTTACTTCTCATCTATACATTAATGCTGTGTTTTGGGAGATATGAAGTACTTTTGTACATATTTACCACAAAATTCCTCAACTACACCATTAGCTTGCATGTGAAATATTAATTTTTTATGAAAAAATCACTTAAAGGATGACCTAAATTTAATTTAAGTTGCTTCTGGATATTGATCTAGGTGTTAGGTGCAGAATTTTGCCATCTGCTGGTTAGAAATAAACCTAAAGGATTACAGTTTAGGAAAGAAATTGTTTTGACCAGCAGAGGGCCATAGAGAGCCATTCATTTTACTGGATGTGGCCAACTGCTTCTATCATAACGTTTGTGATACATTTTGTGAATTTATGTATATATAAACATTAGAAAAGACATTAAAAATAAATATTATTTCAAATGGTATAATGTTTTGTAGTTTTTGATGCAGTTTGAAATGTCTGTTTTCAAAAAATGCCACAGAAATCTGACAGAAAAATGCCACATAAGACACACCTAAAGGACAAGACTTAGAGTCAGATTGTAGTTGCATATTATTGCTACCCAATGAGTGAGACTGGATAACACTGGGAAACGTACCCGTTCTACTTGGAACAGGGACGTTACGGAAGCTCCAACCTTCCCGAAGGAGGTTCGGGAAGCAATACACATATGAACATTCCTTAGGTGCATATGGAAGGATGGAGGTGATTGTAACCCTCTTGGAATGGCAGAAGTCTGCCGGGGAAACACGGGCTCAAGGCTATACCGTG